GGTTTTGCTGCAATTTCAGTGATCTCCGTGTACGTAGCACTTCAACATTGCATTTCATGGTGTATTTATCGTTAGATTTTCGACTTCCGGTTTTTCCTTTTTTTTTTTTTTTTTTACGCAGCTAAGAAGTTGTCGTTCTTTTGCTGTATAGTTATGACATATTTGTAAGGTTTTTTTGGTGTTCCGTCCATTTTCCCACCATTGCTTTTTTCCTTTTCCACATATCTTCCCATTTGTTCGTTTGTTCATTCATCCTTGTTTTTGTGTCTTCACACTCAGGCGCATCAGCTTAAGCAAAGCCAATGAAGGAATGGACCGTTTCCTCCACACTTGAACACACATCGGTATTGATATTGATCGCACTTCAGCAGTTCCGAACAAACATAATGAAACTGTGTCAGACTTGAAACGATAATCAATGTCGAATGTATCTTGTTTAAAGCCCCTCCTTGAACACGGTTCAACCCCCACTCAGTTTCCGATCAATGCTTCGCTTTCAGTTATGTTGTTTGTTGTACAAACCAACCTCACATTGTTTCCGATCAGCGCTTTCCTTTCATCCTACATCACGAAACACGTTCAGAATTCAAACTTTGCTTTTTACATGTCGGCCTTCGTAGCCGTACAACCCATGCAAAGGTGATCCAAATGTTGTTGATTGCAGTCCCATTGCGTTGTCATCATCTGTCCTCGAAAACGATGATATGTATGACATGTTTACGAAACCGTGCATCTTAGCAAGACTGTTCCCGACAACGTTTCTTATGGTCACTATTTTTTTTTCCTACCTCATCCCAGGATTCGCAAGCGTAGAACGCAGAACTATCGCAATCCACCTTCTCATTCCATAATGCATTGCATCTAGCTTCCACCAATCTACCGCACTTACCTGTGCATGCTACACAATTAACTCTACACAAATTTGCATCGTTCAAATAAATCCGCACTGAGCAATATGACATTGGCGCTGTGTTCGTCCCGAGCTCGTTCAGTATCGGATAAGTTTCGATTCTTCTCAGCAAACGTCCGCATGCTTTCAACTCGGACCTAGATTCTTCAGACCACGTGCGAGGCTATGATGTTACATACTTGCATGCTATTGCCCCTTCTTCCTGACAGCATTCGTTGTCGGAGTCGTTGGTCTCACTCGGTTCTTCATCATCATCGTCGTGGTCGTACATCCAGTGAAGTTGTAGTTCGGTATGTAGGTGGCACGCATGGTCTTAGAAGGTATGACGATGAGTCTTCCCCATTGCATGTCATTTGCAAAACGGAAGTCCTTTGCCCATGGGCACTGTGTCATTGCGATGTCCCAATCCTGTTCGCTCTAGTTCCTAACTCTTCCTTGCCATGGTCGTACACTCAGCCACGGGTCGATCCGAAGAGCCTGAACTATCTTTTCTTGCTTATACTTCCATGATGCAGTGTCGTCCATCTTCCAACATATGTTATTAGCTGTGTAAATCGTGACGGCCAAACACACTCATTCAGCTCGAGATAACCACTCATATGACCATATTACATGCACTCCATCTCGCCTCCCTTCATATCCACATTGGTTGTAGTATTTGTTTTCTTGCAGTATCTAACTGCTCCATAGTGTTCAGAGGACCTTGACAGTAATCGTTCTAATGAAGGTCGTCCTTCGTCATCATGGCATCATGAACAACACCATAAAATGAAAAATGGGCATGTCGTGACACAGCGTATGCCGTGTTGTCCACGTCGTCAGTTTGGGGAGGTATTCGGAAAAGCAGTCAAAGGCCCGGAAACCAATGAAGAGTCATCACATGGCCGTGCAGCGGGTCGGGGACGACGGCACAAGGGGCGGCAGCAGACTCAGGGCCACACTATCCTCGCCGGAGTCTTCCTGGGGACACCGCATCATGGCATCACACGCCTGGCCATGCGATCACACGGCATAGCGTCCCGTCGAGAACGGACCATGGTAACACATGGTCCGGCGTCCCGCGGACGCCGGGCCATCGCATCGTAATATCCGGCGGGCCGCGGACGCCACATCGTCCCATGGCATCACCCGGCGGCCCGTCGAAGCCGGACCATCCCATCATATCATCCGGCGGCTAGGGGATGCCGGACCATCCCATCATATCGTCCGGCGGCTCGGGAATGCCAGACCATCCCACCATATCATCCGGCGGCTCAGGGATGCCGGACCATCCCAACATATCGTCCGGCGGCTCGGGGATGCCGGACCATCCCATCATATCATCCGGCGGCTCGGGGATGCCGGACCATCCCATCATATCGTCCGGCGGCTC